TTCTCTTTCTTCATTTGTAATTACATTTATTTGATTACAAGTGCATTTTCCTATACACTCACARCTYGACTCAGATTCTTCAGATGAAGAATAATCTTGAACAATATTGAGATCTTTATGATCATAGTCTGAGATGTTTGATTCATCATCAGAACTGTCATTATTAAGAACTAATCTACTGATTTGAGCTTTAATTGATCAGAAATATCTAAATCATTAATTCTTTTCTTAACAGTTTTTCCACATTTATAACATATTATAAGATCATGTGATTCATTTTGATAAGTTCTATTAGGTTTTTTGTTGAATTTTTTATAAGGTTTTTTACTTACTTTTTTTTCTTTATATTTTTCTTCATAATTTTCATTAAATTTATTTTTCGAAAATCTTTTCTTAGAATCTTTTTTATGTTTTGATGAAGATGGTGTTGAAATAGGTTGATATCCATATTGTTGACAAAAATATCCTAATTCATTTTTGCTTGAAATTCTATCCTTTTTGAGTTTTGCTTTTAGTCTTAAATCTGAACATATTGATAAACCTTTCTTATTAACATAACTAATGATTTCACCATAAGTTAAATCTTTATAAGGAATTTGATTAGTGTATTTTTCTCTTAGAGTATTTCTTATTTTTTCTGCAAATAGATTTGGTAGACCTGCAATAAATCTTTCTTTCCAGTAAGCTTCTTTGCAGTCTGGTCTTAACATAACTTTAGTTAGGAATATATCTTTGTACCATCTAAAATTTTGAAGTTTTCTACAAGTTAGATTTAAGAGTATTTCAGCACTCTTTTCTTGGAATAAAGTTGGATCACCTATATAATTTTTAATAATAGCGTATATTAACGTATTAATAATATCATCTTCTTGAGTAGTAGTGGTTTGATTATTTTCTTGTTTGATCACAGATTTCTTGGCATTTAGTATATGCGTTTTTTCTTCTTTAGTAACATATAGATCCCACCAGCCTTTTAAATTGCCAGTAAATCCAGAGGTTAATAAATCAGCTATTTGTTCTTGATTATTTCCTTTAATTGCATAAGCATTTGCAGCCATGTTTATTTCTTGAATCATATTTAAGATTTGATGTTCGGTTAATCCGTCTATATTCCATTCATATACGGATGTACCATCATATTGACTACGATTCATAGAGAATTCTCTATCTTCGTATTGAACATCTGAAAAAGTTGGTCTAGGATAATAATTAAAGGTATTTGGCCTGTTTGTTAAAACAGTACTTTTAAATTTGACTCTATTAACATTATTTGAGAATTGATTTTGAAGTTGAGCAACTTGATTGCAGCCTTCATCAGTTTCTGAAGAGCTATCAATATTTTGATCTATTGTATTAATTTTCATTCCACTTAATTTTTGTTCTAATTCATTGACTAATTTTTTATTATATCCTAAATTTGTTGTTGGATCAAGTTGTTGTGGAATAAATATTGGATTTTCCACATAAGTTTTTGACAGAGTAGATGAGCCATCTTTCTCTTGAGATGTGCCATCTTTTTCTTTACTATTATATTGATTATTTTCGACTCTACTTAATTGTTGACTTATAGTACTTAATATTTCATTTGAATAATTATTTTGATACGCAATATTTTTTATTAATTCATCTTTAGCTGTATTTTCTGTAACATTAACAAGAGGAGTAGCTACATATTTGTTTTGAATTAATATTGACGTTTTTGGTGGATGAATACTTATGATATTTGTATCAGTTTTTATATTTTTATATTCTTGAGTAATTTTTGGGGAATTATTAATTAAAAGGAAAGGATTAAATATTCCTTTTTGTCTACAAGACATTTCATACCAATTAAAAAAAATGTTATATGAACATCATTTTGATTAATATATTTTCTCCATGCTAATTGATGCAAAAATTCTTTATTTGAATCATTAATTGTTTTATAATAATATTCTCGTTTTTCTTTATTATGATCAGCATAAAATTCTTTGAAAAAATATTGCATATTAATTGTTGATTGAGACATTTTACAAGTTTTTTCAGCTAAGAGAGATGAAAATATTTTAAAATATCTAGGTTTTATTACTTATTTTTAACAAATTATTAATTTTTTTGAATAATATTTAATTTCTTTAAATTTGGAGTTTATAATTTATTTCACCCATTCAATACGTGTTGAGATATTTGATAATATTATAAATATATAACATGGAACTAATTGCTTATTTTGTCTTTGTGTTAAGATTTCTATTATTAATGCTTGTTTATCATTTTTTAATGTTTCTAAATATTTATAATCTTTAACTATTTTTATCCAAGAATCTTCTATTATTTTTTTTTTGTTTTTTTTATATTACAGAGAATTTGAGATTTATTACTCATAAGATTTTTTTTTGAAATTATTTAATTCAGATAAAACTTCTGAACGGGTAGGGCTATATCCTTTAGAATCATTTTCTTGATAAATTGGTTTTGGAATATTTGTATTGAAGTCTACATATCTTAAGGATTTAGATTTTGAAATCAAAGGTGTTTTCATATCAACGCTACTGGTTGATCCAATAGAAAATCTTGCTGGAACAAATGGAAAAGATTTGAAATTAATATATATTGACCCATCTTTATGTTCAATAATATTTGATTGTTGATTAAAATTTTCTATTTGGTTAGGTTGATGTATATTTTGAAGAATTCAGTTACAGGATTGAGTAATTTCATTCCATTTAAGGCGTTTGGAATTTGAACTTTAGCGTGTAGGGGGTTTGATTCAAATATTATAGTTTCATTTTTTGGACTTGCTATCTTAGTCTTTGGCTCGATTGTTGAAGACATAGTCAAATTCGTTAGATGACTGCGACAGCTTTGGTGTCTTCTTTGAATTCTAAATTCTTAGTTTTAATTGTTAAAACTAAAGTATCTAGAATATTTGGATCAAATAATCCTACTGAGAAATTAAGATAACAATTGAAATAAATTGGACCATTAGAAATATTAGTTTCTGCCATTGCTAATATTGAATTCTTAAAGTTAGTATGCCTAGCATCTCTTAGAATTAAAAGGACAGGGGCATCTATGCCTAGTCTAAAGAGTGCTTTGATTGCTACTTGAATTAACCCAACATGTAAGAACTTATATTTCTTTCTGTGTTGAATTATACCAGTTTTTGATAAAAGGTTAAGATTTTCATAATCTTTATTAATTGATAAGGTTTGTTCTGTTGCTTTAATTAAATAACCTTGAAGAAAATCAAAATGACCTATTTTATAAATTGTATTAACATCTTGTTTTGGAATTGTCCAGTCTGATAAACTTTGTTCTATATCACTAATATGAATTTCTGATAAATTTAAATGAAGATCTTGTTATTCATTGATTTCATCGCCAGACTTATGTCTTTTAGGAAATAAATTCATTATTTTATTTTTATTAACTCCCTTGTGCTTAGATTTGAGTATTGTTCTTCTAAGAAAATTAGATCTTTCTAATGATCTTTGGGCTATTAGTGGTTCCTTTGGACTGGTACAGCTGCACGTCTTACGCTCCCTGGTGCGTGACTTACGCTACTCCAACGCCCATCAAAACTAACCAACGCTAATATCCAATTATCATTATAAAATCTCATTTTCTTATGGAACAAGCTCATCTCCATGACGCATTCATTAACATAAATAGCATAACTCATTTCTTTCCTATGAACATAAAACATGGCTCTGATACCATTCGGGACAGGACCGTTCATAATAATTGAAATAGAAATTTCTAGAGTGATATAGTAATGAATAGGCAAGCAAAAATATGAAAAAATATCTTTATTGATCAAACAAGCTTACAATTGTCGTTGAGACAATTTAAGCATACATCAGGAGCAATGATCAGATTGAAATCAAAAGATTTCGAACATTGAGAAGTTGAGAATTTGAAAGAAAATTTCTTAGACATAATATTTGATCTAAGGGGTTTTTCTTCTATGGGGGTTTTTCGAATTATTTCCGGATGATTAGAATGAGAACTTATATATATATATATATATATATATATATATATATATATATATATATATTCTTCTGCCTCGTTCAGAAGGGCACTTTAGAGAGATATAAGGATTCTCCCATAAACCATTGAATTGCCCCTTATTTCTCCCATAAAGCCATTGAATTGCCCTTGGGGAGAAATTTATTTGTACAATAGTGTGAGGACGGAAAAAAATATGACCTTTGCTTTGACGCATGTTTTCACTTCCTCTAATTCAGGAGGGATTTATCTAGTAACTAACTAGCCCGTTCTATGCTTGGCTTTTTTTCCTTGCCAATAATATTATCTTTTTGATTTTTTTTATTAAGAAAATTTTTAAAAAATTTATAAATATAAATAAAACAGAAAAAGACAAAGAAATAGGTAAAACAACCAAAATGCGCCTTACTTGACAAAGAAATCTAACAAAGTTTGATCAGGGACAGACTTTCAATGCAAAATCCAAACGGTGAGGATGTTAATTATAGTTATTGAAGTCTAAGGACCATTTTTGATGATTTATGTAAACCATAGGGACCAAAATTATAGTTTACTCTAAATAATTTTCATCATGAAGAGGACATAAATAGTTTATAGCCTCTCAAAATATTTACGATTCTCATTTAAATCAACTTCTAAAAACCTGTTTGTTAGTAAATAACTTCTAAACACCTGTATGTTAGCAATTTAATGAATGGGACTGCGAGTTTATTTGATCAGCTATAAGCGATTGGTTGGAAGTCACTTAATGGTGTACAAAATGGCTGATTCAACAAGTTTTTAGGGGAGCTTCATGAAGTCAAGTTTTTTTTTCCAAACTTGTCTCTATCAACTAAAAAACACACTTCTTCCATCTATGAAAAAATCCTCACAACCTATACAAAGAGATTAGTTCACATAGAACCTTATCCATACAGGACTTTATGAAAAATCAACCAATCATCCATTAAGCAACATAGGTGCAAAATTGCGAAGTGGATCCAAGTTCAACAAACTACTCACGAAGATAAAAGAAAAAACCAATTTATTAAGAAAGACCCTGAAAATTTATCATACCATGGGAAAATTGCAAACAGTAATACACTTGATATGGCAAATGAATCCACAAAACGAGTGTTTGTTGAATTTCTCAAACCACAACGGGTTTTATTTTTCCAGAAAGACTTGTGATAACATTGACATGAACTCAACCACCCGTCAGTCATTTGAGTGATAACGCCACCATACCTTACCAAACCTCAGGTCGTAGCTCACCGGTTGCAGGAGGCATCCATCGCCCAGAGTGATAGACGCTCTCACCGACTTTCCACCCCGGCACATCTTTCATTATTCGGGCCTCCTCTTCTAGATATTTCCTCCATTCCTTTACAAATCTAAATACAAATTCAAACAAATTATTTCCCAAGAAAGCCAAGGCACTTAATAATAAGAATAAGAAAAGACCAGCATTTGCGCTTACCTTTCATCCTCTTCTGCTTGAAGCATCGGCAAAATGGCCCTGCGGGCAGCATATTTTTCCTCCTTTATCGCCCTGAATCATAAACATCCACTTTATATAATGATTGTAGTTATTGTTTGCCAACATAAGTGACGTGGAGAAGACGTGAGCAGATAAACAAAATAAATGGGAAGGCAAAAAAACCCGGCCCAGACGGTTGGGACAGGATGGGACCAGTCAGCCTGTAAGGTGTTATCTTAAACTATTCTGAGCTATCCCTAGTTTTAATCAACTATCGAATTTTGACTTTTTTAAGTAGCAATAATCACCTCGAAAACGCTCATTCAGATACTCTTGCGCCAACTTTGCTCAGAGTAACTGGATATTTGTATTTGCTTGAAGGATATTACGACTCAAAAACAAGAACACAACATTGCAACTTGATTTGAAGATGGTATAGATTAATTGATGACAAGTTTTTAGAAGACGAAGGAAGCCACATGAGCCTAAAATTACCATGGAAGGAGAAAAATATATCAATGAATATGACTAGATGAAGCATGTAAAGAACCATGCCTGCAACTTTAAACTAATAATCTCAAATTAATATCATTATTCTATATTTGATATTTTGTAATTTGTATAATTTTTTTTTAATTTGTAACATTTCATTATTTTAGCTTGTAACTTGCATTTTTTATTTTATAACCAACAATATTTGGACCAATGGTGATCTGTGATTGCTCCTTCTATGCCTGGCCATAGATCAGGACCAATTATGATTTGGACCTGTTTCCCTAGGACTGGACCCTATTTCAATCCCTGGGCCCAGGTCATTTGAGGATCTCTTGCAACCTTCTGAAAACTATTAACCTTCTTAGTCCAAATCAAACACTACACCTAATCTGAGGGAGAAATAACACAGGGAGATACAAAAAGTCAGGCTTGTGGGGAGCATTCTATTTGATGATCGAAGTGGAAATATTGGTCAACCTAAAGTAAAATTGTATCGGATCTATTAAAAAATTAGGAATATGAGTTTGATCATATTTAGGTTTAGAACACATAGAGATATTGGAACCGGCGATTCCTACTCTCACCATTTCAGATAAGAAAGCTATGTTTCAACTTTAATTGGTGTTCATATTCAAAAATGATATGAATATCTAGAGAAAATAATTTTCTAGTGACTCGTTTTTAAGTTCTTTCTATATACTATCTGGGGTGTTCTTGTTGGCCAATAGTTGAAAGAGTGCTGCCAGTGGCTAGCAGTCAATTATTTGCCAAATGTCCAAAGTGTATGTCATGATCAGACAATTTCAGTTGGCAAAAAGTTTATGATGATCTTTCATAATGTCAACTAGACGCAACTCTTTAAAAGGTAATACTCACATCAATGTTTATTCACGGCCAAGGTTTAATGCCTATCTAACCTCAAAACATTAAGCAAGATCCTAATATTGATCCTCAGACTTGGTGTCTTTCAAACTACCAATTACCAACATAGGTCAACTAGGTGATTCAGAGGATTTATTATTCCAGGTTTCCAGAAAGGTGTCTAATGGTAGTAAGTTCCGCTAATCAAGTGAATCATGTGCAATGGTGTGTGGACAGAAACAAGCATTTTTAAACCACGACATTACTCATTCTGTTATAACAAATATAGCTGCCACATGTACGGTTGAGATCTCTACCAGATGTATGGTCAGGATCTAGTTTAGTACTTCGATTGTCTATAAATGACCATCATAATAGCTTTTTCTAATCAAGCAAGAAATGAAATAGAAACCATTCCAACTCTTTTATGGTATCAGAACCCTAGATCTACAGCAATATGGTGGGAACTCCTACCACAATTTCTTTTGTCTCATCCCCCAGTACCTCAAATCATTTATCATCATTATCACACCTGGTCTCAATCAAGTTATCAAATGATAACTATCTTCTCTGCGGAGCACAAATGCTCCCATAACTATATCGGGAGAAACTTTTGTGGATTTATTGATGGTTCTATCTCTCCACTCATTCAACATCTCCATTCTCCAAGATGAAACAATAAATAATTATTACCTGGTTTCAACAGTCTGCCTTATTTCATCTTTATTTGAGTCCATCGTTAGCCAGCTACTTCAACATTGTCCATCCTCGGCAGTTTGGCATGCCTTGGAGAATCTCAATACTGCTAAGTCACAAGCTCGGGTCATCCGAATCCATACCTAACTGACAACGCTCAAAAAGGGGGAGACTCAATTTTAGAATATTATAGCAAAGACAAACGTCTTAATGATTCTCTGAAGTCTGATTGTTGCCAACAAAACACATACAGATGAGGACCACCATCTTCTTGCTGGTCTTGGGTCTGATTTTGACCCTGTAGTTGTGTCTCTCTCCACTTGTTCCAATACGTTCTCCGCATCAGAACTCTTGGTCATCTTCCACACTTGAGGCATGACTACTACATCACACTTCATCCCCTCCGGCTTTCAAAATCTCAACCAATACTGCCATGAGGAATTTTAGTTCGTAAAGTTTCTCAAATGGCCGGGGCCCTTTTAATGGTAGCCAATGGCCCAATCAACCTCCTGGACAGTGTTGAAAGGATTTATTTCAATTTCATTTCTTGACTGATAAGAAATGGCTATTACAATGATCATTTTTAGACAAATCGAAGTACTAAACTAGATCCTGACGTACATTTAGTAGAGATCTCAACCGTACATGTAGCCTCTAAATCTGTTATAAACTTATAACAGAATGTGTGATGTCATGGTTTAACAAAACCAATGGATTCCAGACTACCAAATGTTAATACAATAATAAACTAAAAGTGGAGTCCATTATTCTCTTCTAGATGGCCTGGAATCATCTGTAAAGTAACATGTTGATGAGAGTGTTAAACAAATTGATTCTACTATACTTTCGCATAAATCAAATAATGAGTAATGAAAACTGCCATCTGTAACAAATTGATTCTACTGTTTGAAGTATACAAAACTGAAAATAGAATAACCTCGCCATCTCTAAATCAACTGTAAGCCACCAAAAGCTACATGATTTAAATTCAATTCTTATCCCACTCCCCCAATATTTAGTTTGATAATCATTAGCTTGTTCCCTCCATTCCAAAAAAAAAAAACTTAAATTTACATGGTTTTTGGTCACAAATTTATCATCAAAAGATTCAATTCGTAGTATTTGCTATATGCATTTTTCATTTTCTCTAGAAAATTACATATCCATATCAATCTTGAATATGAACACAGAGCCACCGATTAAAGTTGAAACGTAGCTATCTTATCACCAATGGTGATAGTAAGAAACATCAGGCTTGTTCTAAACCTAAATATGATCAAACTCAAATTTCTAAAATTTTAACAGATCCTTTACAGTTTTACGTTACTTTTATCAATATTCCACTATAATCATCTACAGAATGATCCCTAATTTCAATCGTATATTCAATAAATGAAAATTTAAAAAAGACAAGGGTTTACTGAAAATGAAGACTTGCCTACGGATCTTGTTGCCCTTGCCGACCTGATACATACCCCAAGAGAAAGTGCCAAAAGCGGCGAGGAATATGGCGACGGCGCTGGGTCCTTTAGACGGAATCCTCCTTGCGTACCGAACCGGCGCAAAACCACCGGGAGGAGGACCGTCTTGGAGGAGAGGCATATCTTTGACGCTCGCCATTCCCGGCTTGTTCCTAATTGACGCCTCCGTCATCGTTACCGAGTAGCCTTCTCTTTCTATGAACTTCACCAAAAAATAGTTAGCTCAAGATTTGAAAGGAGAGAGCTGAGGTTTGGACAAAACGGAGGTCCGGAGGAAGCCTCTAACTTGCGCACTTGTTAACTTTAACCTTGCTAATCTAAGCATACTAATTCATGTTCCAAACAAAAAATTAGGGACAAAATGCACATATTATGATCACACTCTTTAGGTTGATTTTTATTTTTAAAAGAGGGAATTACACTATTGGTCTTGTGGTTTGTTTAGAATTTGAATTTGATCGTTAAAAACGAACTATTTACATTGAAATAAACTAGGAATTAGATTAATGGATTTTTAAAGAGCAAACATTGTTTAAGGATTGAGTTAAAATGCTTGACAACTTAAAGTACATAGTGGGATAAGAAGATAAACGGGATTCCTAAACTAAACCATGAGCAACCTTATTTGATTGTCTCTTAATAAACCTGATGAAGTAAGAGTCATTTTGAAGGAGAATCGAGCGGCTAAAATAATCACCAAATTCTAATGTTCTGTTTGGTTTGTAGGATTGGATTGGATTTGGAATTGAATTTCATTTCAATCTTACATTTGCTTTGAAGGATTTTTTATATTTGAAATCAGAGGCTTTCATTGAAATCCCACAAACATAAGGGGCTGTTTGGTTTATGGAATTGGATGGCCAAATCCTTTGACCAAATCTCAAATGCCATCTTTGGTTCACAGAATAAAAGTGATGGAATCTTTTTATTTCCATTGAATTCCTTAATTCACATATTTCACAATTTCATGAGATATCTCTCAGATTTCAATTCCTTTCCGACAAGTTCCTTGCCCTAAACCAAAATCATCCAACGCTCTCTATCTTGATTTGTGTAGCTCGTGTGTACCATCTCCTCTAGTCGATCTCTTCGGTTCGATCTCCGATCTGGTATGTTCTCTCTCTCTCTCTCTCTCTCTTGTAATTTCTCCATTTCTAGCTTTCTCATCTCCCATCAATCGCTCTCGCTTTCCTGTCTCTACATCTATCGCTCTCTCGTTTTCTCCATATATGTGCATTTCTCAATCTCCACATTTAATTATGATACGATTACAACTACAATGTCGTAGGTTTATGTTTTGACCATACTTATTCAAGATGATGCAAAAACGAGGTGATTTCACTTCTTCTTTACAATCTTCATCTTCTAGATACTTGTTGTTGCTTTGTTTTATTTTCTTCTTTGCTCTATTTTGTTTTGTTTTGCTTGGGCAATTTCAAATTTTATTGTTGCTTTATTTTTAATTTGATTCTACCCATTGGTGTTGTTGTTTACTTGTTGCTCATGATACATAATTTTACTTGCTCCTGTTTACTTCTCTTCATGGGTTTGTTTTGTTTTGTTTGGTTAGCCAAGTTTGCTTACTTTTTAAAGAAATCCAAGACACTTTTTGTTGTAACTTGGGCAAATGAGTTCAAAATTCAATTTGTCAAATACAAATGTGGGCAAAAAATTTGGGAAAAATGCTCACATATTTTCAAAATGTTCACAACATGTTAACAAGGGTTTGGCAAATTCAACTGACTGCAAAGGATTTGGGCAAAAGTGTTCACAGTTGGTTAAAAGTGTTCAAGATTTGTCAAACACGATTAGCACAAAAGCGTTTAAAGTATGATCTATTAAAAGTGCACAGGAAGGTAATGTTTTTTTTTCCCTTTTTGGATTATAAAAGTGCACAGGCACGTAATGTTTTTTTCCCTTTCTGGATGTTATAATGTGTTATGAACTAACATACATGCTTTAATGGATTTGGTCAGGCACTCAAGTCCATGCTAAAATGCGTTTATCCTCTTGGAAAGATACAAGGTTAATTCCCAAATAAGACAACTTCTTGTTCCTAACTAACATATATGCTTTTAACATCTTGGATATACACAACGTTTACATATCTGATATCCATCTCGGTAATCTGAATTTGATTTCAGTTGTGCCTTCTAAGTAGCTTTTTGCATAACAAAAAATAAGGTAAAAAATAAGGTATAAAAGACAGAAGAATCCAGGAAAAACACTTGAAAAGTAACCTTCAAATAAGCATTTTGGATCTAAATTTCAAATGAACCAAGACAAACAAAACCAGTATATCCTTAGATGGAATTCTCACTTTTGTAGTGCTTAGTTGTTGCAATAACCAACTCGTGGAACAATATCAGACTTTGTATGATTCCTCAAGCTAGAGACAAATGATTTGGAATAGGATTCTTCCATTGTTTCTTCCTAGCAAATAAAAATCTTAGTATTGTTTCTTTTTATCCATCGTTATGTTGTTTACCAAATAGTCACTCCCTTAAGTGGAATACATGTTCATGAGTAAATGGACAAACTGCCCATGGTGTTACTTGGCAGCCATCTTTTGATAAGTTATTTTAATTGCTTCTCGATCAATTTGTACAAGCAATCGAGACCCTTCAGTTGTTTGCCAGTTCTTCATAGGTAGTAATTCAAACTAGAAATGAGGTTGAATGTTATTTGTCAGAAGCCAATATATCCATTTTTGTAAACATTGGAGGAAAAATCTCCGAATTATTTCTAGTCCCCTATTTTTCGCATTTTGTTCTCTGAAGATGTGGTTGTAAGACATTCATGCTTTCTTTGTAACTGACACTTAAGTTTGCAACATGATCATCGTTAAAATAGGGATTTGCACTTATAGCATTTTACACGCTTCGATTACTTTATTTGATAGCAAGCCTTGCAAGAAAAATTTGGAAATCAAGAAATTTGCAAAGTTTAAAATTATAATTAATTAGTTAAACAAAATCATACATCTTTTTTTTACTTCTTTTCCCATTCTATGTTCATCATGTATTAGTATCGGTATTAGCATTGTTCCCGCTACCTGTTTGCTCACCCTCTTGCTCAAAGGTCCAACTGAAATGCTAAAGAAAAGTTCAAGCAATTGGAAATAAAAGATATACAAAACAGAAAATGGCTTGACTTCTTTAGGACATGTAGGCGTAGGCTTATGAGATTGTTTTTGCACGAAGCTATAGCCATTATTATTTGGTTTTTCACTACGGTTTGCACTTTAATAGTCGACTATAAAAAAGGATAAACCACATGTTCGATACTCTTTGTCAAATATGGATCGAGCTTCAATATTGCATAGATATGCTTATAAGAGTGACAATATGTGCATATCACAATTTAGGATGAACATAAGGTGTTTCAAAAAGTTATGTGATATGTTGAAACGTTAGGAGGATTTCGAGCAAGTAGGCATATGGGTGTTAATGAACAAGTTGCCATTTTCCTTCACATTATGGCTCATAATGTTAAAATTCGAGTCATCACATGTTGTTTTCATCGTTTGGGAGAAACAATCAGTAGACTATTTACTCGAGTTTGCAACTCAGTGATAAGATTGCATTCACATTTGCTTAAAAATCCCGAACCCATACCAAAAGATTCTACCAATGGAAGATGGAAGTGGTTCAAGATATATGGAATATCTAATTTTTGGTATTCACATGTTAGTAACTTAAGTTCTGTAATGACCATTTTTATTTTCTTGGTTTTAGAATTGTCTAGGAGCTTTAGATAAAACATACATAAGGTGCTTATTGCCACTCGAAGATAAGGCTCGATACAAAACAAGAATGAATGAAATTGCCACAAACATGTTAGAGGTATGTTCACAAGGTAGGCAATTTATTTATGCTTTACCGGGTGGGAGGGGTCGACGGCCGATGGTAGAGTGCTTCGATAAGCTTTTATTAGGCCATATGGGTTAAAGTTAATGAGGCCATATTATTACTTGGTAGATGCCAGATACACAACTGGTGAGGGTTTCCTCGCCCCATATAGAGGTCAAAGATAATCACTCAAATGATTGGCGGGATGGATACCAACCAACAACGCCAAAAGAACATTTTAACATAAGACACTCCTCTGCAAGAAATGTCGATAAGCAATGTTTTGGCATTTTCAAGGCAAGATTGGGAATTTTAAAAGATAACTCGTACTATCACACTGAATTGAAAAATAAGATCATAATGGCATGTTGTCTACTTCATAATCATATCAGGCGAGAAATGCCAAATGATTCATTTGAGACTGATGGGTTGGACGAAACAACCGAAGATGATGGAGACCAAGACATGGATAACGTCAATTTTGTTGGGACATCAACTAAGTGGACTGCATTTAGAAATAATTTGGCACAACATATGTTTGAGACTTGGGATGCTATGCATTGACCTTTTTGATTTGTAATGCTATGTTAGGATCGATTAACTCAGTTTTGGATATTAATCAAATACTCTGGATGATCTTTAAACATTAACAGTGCAGCGAAAATAATAAGAACAAACAGAGTAAACAATCAATGAAGAACACAGTTGATGAATGAAGAACAAAGAGAGAGTAGCTTCAAATGATTTTCAATTGATTGAAAATGTTAACAATACA